GACTGCTTTATGTAGTGTGCACCAGTTTGCAGCAGGTTGTTCATCTGCATTCCCTCCATATTGCAAAAATATTTATTCCTTTTAAGAATGAGTTAGTGAATTAACTTCCATGGTTTCTTGCTTAAAATACTTGGATGCAGTAATTTTTAATGTGCATGAAAAGTAAAGCTGTTTATAATTCTGCTGCTTTTCTTTCACCAGTTTGCAGCAGGTTGTTCATCTGCATTCCCTCCATATTGCAAAAATATTTATTCCTTTTAAGAATGAGTTAGTGAATTAACTTCCATGGTTTCTTGCTTAAAATACTTGGATGCAGTAATTTTTAATGTGCATGAAAAGTAAAGCTGTTTATAATGCTTCTGCTTTTCTTTTATGCATATATATATATATATAAATATATATATATATAAACTTTTGCCTTGGTAAAATCTATCCTGTCATGCCTGAAACAGCAACTCCAAAAGATGTTATATATCAGTGATAATGTTACAGCACTGTAGGAGGAGTTTTTCTGTTCATGTTAAGTAATTTCCTGACACATGAGTTTCTAGAAATGGGCTGGTGGAGTATGAGAGCATTTCAGGTGTGACATGGTGATTTGAGCCAGTAGAATCTAGTTTTAATATGCAAAATGCAAATTTGTCGGTTTGTTTAGCTGTAGTTCTTTCAGGACACTGTGAAAAGGCTCCATGGCAAGAAACAAATACCTATTAGTAGTTAAATGATAATATTTCTAGCATAGAAGCCGACTTTTTATTGTCATAACTGTCCTCAGTTAAGCCAGATACAGGATAATTCACTCTCTCTCTCTTCTCAATGCATGTTTGTTATGTAGGAGGCAGGGACGGGAGTATCCATTAAGCCAACAATAGGTGTGTTTATTTTTCACTATTATAATGTAAAAAGCCTTTTATCATGTCAACTATGAGGTAAACAATGAAGACAGACCGAGAGTATAACAAAATGGTACAGTTGCTTTTTAGTACCAACAAAGGGTAAAGAATTCCAAGTAATGCTAAAACGAGAATATAACTGTAGGCCACCAAAATAGTGAGGATCCTCCAGTCTGCCTCTGTGTAAATATGCTATTAATAATTTAGTATTTTGATTTGGAAGCTAATCTTGCTAGTACTTACCGAATTTCAGTTAGGTGCACTGCTGAGTTGTTAATCAAATATAATTATTTTAATTGAACTACAGAGATGAAAAAAAAAAAAAAAATTACAAAAAAATTGTGAGCGGAATGAATGGTAGATGTTAGATTCTGGCAAATATAGATG